ACAATGATTGGGCCAGTTGATTAAAAAGGGTCTTCTGGGAGCTGTTTCCTGGCTAATGGCATCTGCATTCTACACAATGAGTTCACAGAGTACAAAACAAGAAACTATATGAAACACACACACACACTCACCACCCCCCCCCGAACACACACACATGCACAATTGCATAGTTTTTTACATTTAGCAGGAATTGCACATAAGCGAGTCACACAGACATACATTTGCTGTGTGATGGCATCTGAGATGTGCCGATTCATTTGTTATGTGCAGACAAACAAGCAGGCAGACACTTTTCTTTAACATAAATACAATATTGGAATCGTAATCAGATTCATTTTAGCTGACATGTTGTTCAACCACCGTTAAACAGGGTCATCTTGTATTTGTCAAACATATTTTCAGAGAGCAGATGGAGCTTAGTTCCTCATTACACCAGAGAGCTTAAAAGATTAATTTATTTTGTTGCAGTTTTGAACGCATTGTTTTGACCATCAGTCAAATTGAATAACCACAATACTCCCAAAGGTAACTGCATTCATTGTGGAGCAAAGATAAAAGTTTAACTTGGGAAAGAAAAAATATGGAGCTGAATCCGGGCCAAAGGTTTTGATCGTTTGAAATCAATTATCTATTTGAAGGTTTAAGTTTTGATCCTGAAGTCTGAAAAATACAATAATTGATGATGCTACCTTCAGGGTCGGTTTACATAATACGTAATGCCTGCACAACACACTGTACAACTTTAAAACACTGGGAGAACAATGCACAATCCAGTTTGTTGCTAAAAAACAAAGTATCCCTTTGTTCCCTCTTAAAGGGACAGTAGGCTTCCTCCCACTTCCTTTAAATAGTCATACAGTCATAGTCTCCTTTGTTGTTAGTAATCACACCAACATGTCGAAGTTAATGTTTTAATTATAAATTGGTTTGGCTCAACGTTCTCCTTAAGATGTGTGTCCTCCATCCGGTCTATTGCAATCATTACTTCCTGTACTTAGTTTAAAGTGTCATTCTGCATCAGCTTAAACTTTATGTGTGCAATGTGCCTGAAAGATGTTTTTGCTTTGGCTTCATTTTGATTGCTATCTGCTTCTTTACCCCACTGTCGGCCCAGCAGGTGCTTTCTGTCAGCTCAAATTGGCTGCACAGGGTTGACGACAAAAATAGACACACAGGTTGTTATTCCTCCCCCCTTAGTCAGCTTATTAGACCTCAATGCCCCCTTTAGTTTCTCACTTTTCATCCCTCCATCTTCCCCTCAGATAACTCTATCAGTAATAGGCTCCAGTGGAGGCGGCCTCCCACTGAGAAACTGATTTACTGTGCAACCTGAAAGCAGAAGAACGAGGTTAACGCTTCTTTCTGTCTTCACCACTGCTGATTCACTGCATTGTGTTTAAGAAGTTACCCTGCAGAAAGAGGACAGGAGGAAGGCTAAGGGAAGGGAGGAGAGAACGTTAGCGATAAGGAAGAGGACAAGGAAACAAACACAAGGACGCTAGTTGGGAATAAGCTTCAGCGCATAAGACACGCTGTGAAGTAAACCACACATGAAGTGTGTGTGTGTGTGTGTGTGTGTGTGTGTGTGTGTGTGTGTGTGTGTGTGTGTGTGTGTGTGTGTGTGTGTGTGTGTGTGTGTGTGTGTGTGTTAGTTCTGTGTTTTGTACCAACTGCAGTAGCTGATATCTTTGCATCATCCGTTTTATCCATAACAAATCAATTGAGATGGTTTGATATATAAACACACACACACACACACACACACACACACACACACACACACACACACACACACACACACACACACACACACACACACACACACACACACACACACACACATAGATACTCTGAGACTTGAGAGTGTGATTAATACTTTGTCTTTATGCAATTTACATGATATCCATTACGTTAATTTGCCTAGTATGCAAATCATGCAGAGCTCATGTTTCATTTTGAGCGCTCAGCTAAATAATTTATCTCCCACTGCGTGAAACTGTGATCATATTTATTGAATTAGCTTTTATTATTTACAGTTTATGAGCCTGAAAATCACCAAATGATCATTTATGCACATTGGAAGAATCCACATTGTTGTTGTTCGACGCACTAGTTGCTGTTGGGAGGAACTTTCAAGTGTTGGTACATTTGTTCTAAACATTTCTTTAACTATGTTGTATTGTTGTTGTAATTGTAAATTGTTTTAAGCATTTCCAACAATGTTCAAACTTAGAGAAAACCATATCCAGGGAAATTATCCGCGTTGCGTGTTGTTGAGATTTCAAGAACTCTTCAATGACCACTATTAGAGGAAAACAACAAGATCTTGTGAAGCTACTCCTTCCTTTGTCTCTGTTTTAACTTAAAGTGGCAGATCATTGAAAACATTTAAAG